TATGGCAGAAACTGTCTCCTTTTGATTTCTTTTTTTACACTTTTTCACCACTTTTAAAATAAAAAAGTGAATAAGTTCATGGTATCTTTACATGAAATACGTTAAGTTTTTAACTCACATTGTTCTGTGCCAAGAAGCCTCCGAAAGTGATTTGAAGATCTTTATCCATCTATGAACAAAGCACCAAAATGGCATTTTTAAGGTCAGCGTGGCATCTATAAGATTCGAGCTGTGGGGAAAGCAACGCCCATGTGAGTCTCGGGGCGGTGTCGTTTGAGCAGGATCGGTGGTGTTGGAGGTCGGGGCGGAGGCGCTGGAGGCGGGGCGGCCCCGCAAACCCCCGCCCCGCACCAGAAAGCGCAGGCATTAACGAGGGGGCCGAAGGGGCAAAGGAGGAGGAGCTGTGGGTTGCTGCGGTTCCCAGGGCGCCCGAGCTTCGGGTAGCTTTATCTAACAGGCTTCTAAGGCTCCGATTAAATAAAGGAATCTTGATAAACTATTTGAAAACTTCGACATGCCACCGCCCGTGCAAGTACCGCTCTCACACAAAACCGATCCATAGCTTGGTGGAGGTCTTTGAACCGGCTGCAAGAAAGTTTCGTCATTTACTCATTGGACCACGTTCCGTTAACTCATTCAAGAAATAGATACCGAGCATCCAGTGTGTCTCTGGCACCCGGCTATGCGTTCGAATTACAGAAATAAATAATCTCCCGGCCCATGAGGTGCTTAGAATTTTTTTGAGTTGGAGTCTCACTCCATCGCCCAGGCAGGAGGGCAATGGCACACTCACGGCCACCGCAACCCCGACCTGCTGGGCTCAGGTGACCCTTCCGTCTCAGCCTTCCAAGTAGCCGGAACTACAGGCTCATCCGCCACCACGCCCCACTGATTTTTTTTTAACTGTAGAGGCGAGGTCTCGCCATCTGCTCAGGCTGGTCTCGAACCCGTGGGCTCAGGCAATCCTCTCGCTTCCGCCTGGAGCTTACAAATTAAGAAAGGAGACAGGCGTGTAAACCAACCATTCAACACGTTGAGGGCCAGGGTGCACTGCAGAAGCACAGTGAAAGAGATCAGTTCTGCTTGGAGAAGTCAGAAGGCCTCACAGACGAGGTGAGGTCTCAAAGTCCTAAATTTGGATGGAAAGAAGTTAGGATCAGGCTCTCAGTTGCTGTGACGTTGAGTGCAGTGGCACGGATGGCAAAGGAGTCATCAAACTCTAAACAACATTTTCCTGGGACAAAACGATGCATTACTTGGTGAGCCTAAAGCCTGCATCAACTAGACAAGACTGGAGTGTAAAGACGAATGGACATGCTACAACGGCATTAATTCTGCAAGATAATCCTCACTTTCTTCTCAATAGAGGTGCAATTTGTAACGAGCTTTGGCCAAAGGTTCCACTCGGGTCTAACTGCAAATTCCTCACCGTCAGGGACTGGCTTTCTCACAGGTAAGTGAGCTATTTGAAGGTAGGGGCCATGTCCACCTGCGTATCCCCCGCGCCCGGGCAGATCGTGCATAGCAAATTCAGCATCCCATACTATTTGACATTTGACTGGAGGGATGGATGGACAACATGACATCTTCGTCCTTGTTCCTGGTTTCCATCACAGCCGCGAACACCGGGAGTTTGAGATACACTTTTTAGGAAGGCGATCTCATGAAGTCACCCCTGGACAGAGGGAAAGTTCTCCCGCTCTAAGGTGTCTTCGGAGGCCATTGGCAGGAACAGTACACTCGTAGAAAGAGTTGTGCTGAACTCAGTCTCTAGGAGACGAGAGCCAAGCAGACATCCCCAAGCCAGGCCTAATACCATTCTGGCCTCCCAAGACATCTCGTTGCACGGCTACGGAAATCCACTTCCGGCCCAATCCGGAAGTAGGGAAGATTTGTGCTAGGAGCGGCTCCCGGGGAGAAGTAACTGTAAGAGCTTCCGTGCTGGAAACCGCCGTCAGACTAGAAACCAAATTCTCCTTCCTCCTACCTCTTCAGCATTCATCTTCAGCTTATCACGGGCGCCAAGTGAGACAGCCAGTGAGGGTTAACAGTGACATCCCCTCCTCCCCAGCGGAGACCACAAGTCGCAGAATATAGTTCGCCGTTTTCCAAAGAAAACGGTCCGCACATCCCAGCATGCAATGCGCCTAACGGGCCGCGAGGACTCTTTCTCGTCCCGCCGAAAGTGTGCAAGGCATGCCGGGATTTGTAGTCGTGGCCGCGCCTTTCCCTGGGTTCTCCGCGCCACTCCGTCCGGTCCCGCCTATTCTCCACTCCCCTGAAGCTTTAGGCTTGCCTCGGCCCCTGGGAAGACCAGGAAGTTGATGAATTCCGAGGCCGGCTGCTGAGACGGTGGCGCGGGTGGGACAGTCGCCAGGGATGGCGGAGCGGGAAGATGGAGCGCGTGTCCGGGCTGCTCTCCTGGACGCTGAGCAGAGTCCTGTGGCTCTCGGGCCTCTCTGAGCGGGGAGCTGCCCGGCAGCCCCGGATCATGGAAGAGAAAGCGCTAGAGGTTTATGGTAATGAATGTCCCCCAGCGCAGCTTTCGGCGTTTTGGGGGGGCCGGGGGGTGTGGTGGCGGCCTCGCCTTAGGGCCTAGAGGGGAGACCCAGGTTTTTGCCGGATCTCGACGGCAGCGTGGGAAGCGTTTTCTTCGGGGTCCTGAGTCACGCGAGAGTGTGGGCCCTGCTGGGACCCGGGCTCTTCCCAGCCCCGGGGCTAACGTAACCTGGAGGTCTAACACTCTTCGCTCCCCCTGCCTGTGGCCATCCCAGGACTCGTGTGCAGAGCACAAGGCTGGGGGCTTGGTTCGTGTTGTCGGCTGGGGTGCGGCGCGACCCTACCTCTTTAGCAAGCACAGCTGGCTTGATAGGAACCCTGGAGCCTCCTTCCTCCTCTGGCTCCTGGACACGCGCTGCTGGTACCGCTCCGCGCACTGCTGGGTGACGGCCGAGTTGGGGACCGGCCCAAGGTCACAGCCGCTGTCTTCTGTGGCAGAGTCGATAGGTAGACGTCCCCGAGAGAAGAGGATGAGATGGGCGTCTCTCCTAACGAGGCCTCGAGTGCAAAAAATATATACACTTGCACATACGCTTCTCTCTATAGTGTACTAAATATGCTCTTTAACCATTGGGACCATCAGATGAGAAAACAAAGGCTTAGCATGGTTAAGCAACTACCTGGTCCACTACCGGTAAGGAACAGCAAAATACCAATACCTGTGTCTTCTGAGTAATGCAGATTTAATGCACTTTTCACCACTTCACAATTGCCTTACAACGTTCTCTCTCTTTTTAAAAAATTATGTTGTATTGTTTTTGAAATCGAAAAAGACTGGATATAATGTTGAGAGAGCTAACCATAGAATACAAGTAGAATTCAGGTAAGGAGCATAGGCCAGTAGAAGAAAACTAGGATTGGGAAACACCTTGGGAGCTGATCTACTTTGCCTCTCTTGCTAGAGGCAGAACTTGTCTGATAAACCCCAGCCAGATGATAACTATCGGTGTACCCATCTTCACAAAGCAAACATACATTTCTGCCTTGTGGGACCACTGTCTACAGCACCTAGTGATGAGAGGACACTGGGAATACAACTTGGTCTGAAGAGACATGATTCTAGTTCTCAAAATTATATTGCGGGAAACCTATATATGCAAAAATATAGTATGGCTAGAAGGCCATAGGTTGAATAAGAGATACAGAATTCAGAGGGGGAGAGACAAGTTTTGACTCGAGTCTGGAAAGACTTGAGTCACTTGGGTTGCACCTCAGTAATGAAGATCTGGATATGTAGAGGGTCCGAGGGCATAATAAGAGGAACCTAGGAAAACAGCAAAGTAGGAAGTGAGAAAATGAAGGGAAATGGCAGATAGATAAGGCTACAGGCTAGGGTTTGTGATTAAAGGTGGAGGTATGGTTGAGTATTGTTTTAGGTAGTCAGATGAAATTGGTTACTAAAGGTTTTAAATATACATGAGGCATTTCAATATCGGTGCAGAGCCATAGAATTTTAGAAAGAGAGTAATGTAGGAGAGCAACGCTGCTTTCTTTTTAAATAAATAAATCCAAACCTTGCAAATATAGACACTAATAAACTAGAGAAGTCTAGTAAGGGGTGAGATTTAATTTCAGGGTTTAGTGGCATATAAAGAATTTATTTATTTTTTTCTCACTGTGTCGCTCAGACTGGAGTGCAGTGGCCGCTCCCGGCCACCGCAGCCTCGACCTGCTGGGCTCCGGCGATCCTTCCGCCTCAGGCTTCCAAGTAGCTGGAACTACAGGCGCACGCTACCTCACCCGGCTAATTTTTTGATTTATTGTAGAGATGAGGTCTCACCAAGTTGCCCAGGCGGGTCTCGAACCCGTGGGTCCAGGTAATCCACTCACCTCAGCCTCCCAAAGGCGCGGGATTACAGGCTGAGCCACCAAGCCCGGCTCATAAAGAATTTAATGAGGCCAGCTGGGCATAGTGGCTCACGCCTATAATCCCAGCTGTTTGGGAGGCCAAGGTGAGAGGATTACCTGAGTTTATGGGTTCGAGACCAGCCTGGGTAACTTGGTGAGACCTCATCTCTACAATAAAAATTTTTTAAAAATTAGCCAGGTGTGGTGGCGCGTACTTGTAGTTCCAGCTACTTGGAAGGCTGAGGCAGAAGGATCACCTGAGCCCAGCAGGTCAATGGCTGTGAGTGTGCCACTGCACTTTAGGCTGGGCAACAGTGAGACTCCAATTCAAAAAAAAAAAGAAAAGAATTTAGTGCAGTTTGTATAAGTGAGTCTTACAGGGAGAAGGCGTAGGATGACAGGCTGAAAATTCCTTTTCAAAAAACCTTGTTTCCCAAAGTCCCATAATAACACAGCTCTGTGAAAGAGAAGCTTTATCCTCTTTCCTGTCTATATTTTCTTTCTTTCCTTTTTTTTTTTTTTTTTTTTATTTTAAATAGAGACGAGGGCTTGCAGTCTTGCCCAACCTGGGCTTGATCTCCTGGGCTCAAACGAGCCTATTACCTCGACCTCCCAAAGTGCTGGGATTACAGGTGTGAGCCACTACACGCAGCCCATGCCTATATTTTCAGATGTTTCTAATCAAGTAACAAGCCCAGGAGATAGCTGGGGGAAATGACTGATTATTTTTATGTTTTCCAGCTGCATTTCTGACTGTAGGGGTGCTATAAAAGAACAAAATCTCTGACTTGGGAACCTCAAGCCCATTCTATGGAAAATTCTGCTTCTTTCCTTTCTACTTCATTTCCTTTTATCATCCTCTTCATCTTTTTCTCCATCCTCAGAGTAAGGAGACCTTGTCCTCTCCAAGGCCAATCTAGACTCCCCCATTTTTTTTTCTCTTTCCCTTCTGCTTGTTTTACCAGTCTTCCCTCTTCCCCACCTAATAGTTTCAGTCTCTCTTCCCCTTATGCTAGAAAACATTCTGAAGTTTCCCTCATCCTTGTCATTGTTCTAGCCTCCTTAGAAAGCTCCTGCCCTTTCCCTGGTCTTCCCTTCCTGGGCAAGGCCCTAGGAAGACATTTCAGTTCCCATTCAGTTCCCTCCTGTAGACTGGCTTCAGCCCTCACCCTCCCTACTGAAATAGCTTTCTTACAGCTGACCTGGGTGACCAATTAAAGACCTATTTTGGGAGACTGAGGTGAGTGGATTGCCTGAGCCCAAGGGTTTGAGACCCACCTGGGCAACTTGGTGAGACCTCATCTCTACAATAAATAAAAAATTAGCCGAGCATGGTAGCTCGCGCCTGTAGTTCCAGCTACTCGGAAGGCTGAGGCGGAAGGATCGCCAGAGCCCAGCAGGTCAAGGCTGTGGTGGCCGGGAGCAGCCACTGCACTCCAGTCTGGGCGACTGAGTGAGACTCCAACTCAAAAAATAAAATAAAATAAAGACCTATTTTAACTCTCATCAGCTGAATGTTTCTACATGTAATACTTATTAACCACCTCTCTCTTTTCTCTAATTCTTTTTTTTCTCATTCTGATCCCTAAATTAGGTGCTTCCCATGGATCTATCCTGGATCTCTTTCCCTTTTCCAGTGATTCTCAGACTGGGTTGCACATAAGAACAACCTGAGGGATTTTTAACACTCTCAATGGCCAGGTCATACTCCAAGCCAATTAACTCAGAGTCTCTGGGGTAATGTCCAGGGATCAGTTTTTTTTTTCTTTTTTGGTCTTTGTTTTAAATAAAAACACAGTTCTGTAATGCCAGTGTTCAGCAAAGGTCCTCTCATGCTTTGTGACTCCCGTGGGTTCAGCAACCACTCTAGCTCTGGTGCTCTCTTAAACCCTAGGTTGCAGTTTCACATCTGCTAGAAAGCCCCATCAGATTGCCCCGTATACCCCTTCAAATCATTTTGTATGAAATTGAGCTCATTTGCCCCAGGCCCCACCCACATTTCTTCCTTGTTCTGTTTCTTTGAATTCTGCCAGTGCTCTCTCAGGCACTATATTTTTTTAGATTGAAAAATATAGTTTATTTAGAAAGTAAGTTAGAAAGAGAGAGAGGAGATTCACCTCCCTAAGGTAGGGGAGGGGGCCAAAACTTAGGAAAACATGGCCAGACCATAGCTTAGCAAGGCAGTGGCCTCAGGTACTATTTTAAGGCCCAGCGTTTTTAGCTGGTGTCATCAACTCTGCTTTTCAGTCAAGAGTCCAGCAGCTGGTGGATGAGTTACCAGCTGACAGCACAATGCTATCTGTGTCACGTGTTGAAAACCACTTGTGGACTCCCTACAGCCCGCTGTAAAAGGCCTGGATGGTCTGACCCCAGCCTCATATCCTACGACTACTCCTCACTTATTCCTGGCTCCAGGCAAACTAAGCTTCTTGTTCTTTAATTTCCTTCACCTTAAATGTCAAATTTTGAACTGTTACCTTTAAAAAAATTCCTGGCAGCCGGGCTCGGTGGCTCAGCCTGTAATCCCAGCACTTTGGGAGGCTGAGGTGAGTGGATTGCCTGAGCACACGGGTTCGAGACCCGCCTGGGCAACGAGACCTCATCTCTACAATAAATAAAAAAATCAGCCGGACATTGTAGCGCATGCCTGTAATTCTGGCCACTCGGAAGGCTTTGAGGCGGAAGGATCGCCGGAGTCCAGCAGGTCGAGGCTGCGGTGGCCGGGAGCGGCCACTGCACTCCAGTCTGGGTGACAGAGTGAGACTCCAACTCAAAAAAAGCAAAAAAACAACAAAACAAAAATTCCTGGCCAACTTAGCCTAATAAAAAAATTACCTATTTTTAAAGGCTTAATTCAGATTCTGCTTCTATATAGCTTGGTACCACATTCTTTCAAGCTAAGAGTTACTTCTCCCTCTTGAACTTCCATGACACTGTTCCCATTCTTACTGTATTCTCTCTGCAATGTTGGAGGAGAGAAACTGGATATGATCTCATAATGTAAGAAAACAGTTTTCTCAAAAGGAAACCAGTAGTGAAAATGTCTGTCAAATCTGGGGCTATAGTATTTGCTTAACTAAAAGAAGTTGGTGCTTAGATTAGGACTGGCAAAATTATCCTTATTTAGAATATTCATATTTTAGGGTTTTTTGTTTGTTTGTTTTGAGTTAGGGTCTTACTCTGATGCCTAGGCTTGGAGTACAGTGGCACAATCATGGCTCACCACAGCCTTGACCTCCTGGGTTCTAGTGATCTTCCTGCCTCAGCCTCCTGCGTAGCTGGGACTACAGGCACATGCCACCATACCCAGCTACTTTGATTTTTTTTTTTTTTAAATCAGATCTCACTCACCCAGGCTGGAGTGCAGTGGCATGCTCACGGCCACTGAAGTCTCAGTGTACTGGGCTCAGGCAGTCCTTCTGCCTCAGCCTTCCAAGTAGCTGGAACTACAGGTGCATGCCACCATGCCTGGCTAATTTTTTTAATATTTATTTTTAATTGTAGAGATGAGGACTTGCCATGTTGCTCAGTCTGGTCTTGAACCCATGGGCTCAGGCAATCCTTTTGCCTCTGCCTCCCAAAATGCTGGGATTACAGGCATGAGCCACCATACCTGGCCTGGTGTGTTTTGTTTTGTTTTGTTTGACTTGGAATCTCACTCTGTCACCCAAGCTGGAGTGCAGTGGCACCATCATGGCTCACTGTAGCCTCAAACTCCTGGATTGAAGTGATCCTCCTGTCTCAGCCTCTTAAGTAGTTGGGGTTACAGACGCGTGCCACTATGCCTGGCTAGTTTTTTTGCTTTTTTGTAGACGCGCGGTGTCACTATGTTGTTCAGGCTGGTCTTGAACTCCTGGACTCAAGCATTTCTCCTGCCTCAGCCTCCCAAAGTGCTTGGATTATAGGCATGAGCCCCCGCACCTAGCCTAATTTGATTTTTTGTAGAGACAAGGTCTCACTATGTTGCCCAGGCTGGTCTCGAACTCCTGGCCTCCCAGAGTGCTGAGATTACAGACGTGAGCCATCATGCCCAACCTTGAGTATGAAAATTTTAATAGACTATCTTGTCTTTGATGATTCTTTAGATTTGATTAGAACTATCCGGGACCCAGAAAAGCCCAATACTTTAGAAGAACTGGAAGTGGTAACAGAAAGTTGTGTGGAGGTTCAAGAGATAAATGAAGAAGACTATCTGGTTATTATAAGGTTTACGCCGACAGTACCTCATTGCTCTTTGGCGACTCTTATTGGTAAGTTTTTATTTATATACATGTACTATGAGGGGAACCCCAAAAACCCAGAATTTACTTATACAAAAGTCTGTATTATTTTTACATGTTTAGACTTCAGTCACCTTCAAAGTACTCTCTGTTTGATGCAATACACTTATCGAGGTGCCTTTTTTTTTTTTTTTGAGTTGGAGTCTCACTCTATTGCCTAAGCTGGAGTGCAATGGCACGCTCATGGCCACTGCAGCCTCGACTTACTGGACTCAGGTGATCCTTCCGCTTCAGCCTTCCAAGTAGCTGGAACTATAGGCACATGCCACCATGCCTGGCTAATTTTTTTTAATTTTACTGTAGAGATGAGTTCTTGCCAAGCTGCCCAGGCTGGTCTCGAACCTATGAGCTCAGGCAATCCTCTCACCTCAGCCTCCCAAGTGCTGGGATTGTAGGCGTGAGCCACTGTGACCGGTGAGATGCTTTTTCTTTTTCTTTTCTTTTCTTTTTTTTTTTTTTGAGTTGGAGTCTCACTCTGTCGCCCAGACTGGAGTGCAGTGGCCACTCCCAGCTACCACAGCCTCGACCAGCTGAGCTCCAACAATCCTTCCGCCTCAGCCTTCCAAGTAGCCGGAATTAACAGTTGCGTGCTACCACACCTGTCTAATTTTTTGATTTTATTGTAGAGATGAGGTCTCGCCTGCCCAGGTGGGTCACGAAGAGATGCTTTTTCAACACTGCTCAAAACAGTTTTTGAACTTGTCGATTTTGATGCCCTTTTAGTGCTTCTGCTGTTTTTTGTTTCACCTTGTCCACATTGGCAAAATGTTTTCTTTTGAGGACTCTTTTCATCCAGGGAAACAAAAAAAGTTGCTTGGGGTAAGTTCGGGTGAATAGGGAGGGTGGAGCACCAGGTTCCTGCCATTTTTGGTTAAAAACCACTGAGCACTCATGATGGAAGAATCACTCATCTGTTTGCCACAACTTAGGATGTTTCTTCCACAAATTGTGATGCAGCCTTCTCAGAACTTCCAGATAGAAGTTTTGGTTGACTGTTTTGTCCAGAGGAACAAATTCTGAGTATACTATAAAGTTCTTGCCCTTCAAAAGATAATTCTGAGTTTTTTTGGGTCCCTCCTTGTATGTCTATAAATTCTAAATTATTCTTGCTATTATTGACCCAAAATGATGATTAGCATCATTTGTTACACTTTGTGGTTTATTGAATAGTTTCATGTGTTCATTTCCTAGAGTCCGCACAATTAGCCTGTGAAAGAGTTAAAATACCATTATTCTTATTTTAAATAATGACAGGGTCTCACTATGTTGCTCAGGCTGGTCTTGAACACCTGGACTTAAATGATCCTCCTGCCTCAGCCTCCCAAAGTGCTAGGATTACAGACATGAGCCACTGTGCCTGACCTAAAATATTCATTTTACAGATGAAGAACTTAAAGCTCAGAGAGTTTAAATGACTTGCTCAGAATCATGTAGCCAGGAAATGGTAAAGCTGAGGCTCAGACCCAGGTCTTCTGACTCCAAATCTGCCTGTCTACACTTACTAGAGGCTGGGCGTGGGCCAGCTCCTCTCCTCAGCTCTGGAGGTCGGTGGAGATGCTGTCAGACCAGCACTGCTGCCATCACCTTCTCCTTCAGCTGCTCCTTTGACTTTTGTGTAGTCTGGCAGAAGTCCTGGTGGGAGGCCAGGCCACATTCCCAACATTTTGTATTAGTTAGCAGTGATATGCGATAGATGTCTTTGAATATATACTTTGCTATAAAGGGAGTTTATTGCTTTTCTTTTTTTTTTTTGAGTCAAAGTCTCACTAGGTCACCCAGGCTGGAGTGCAGTGGCACGCTCACAGCTACCACAGCCTCGACCTGCTGAGCTCAGGCGATCCTTCTGCCTCAGCCTTCCAAGAAGCTGAAACCACAGGCATGCACCATCATGCCTCTCACCAAGTTGCTCAGGTTGGTCTTGAACCCCTGAGCCCAAGCAGTCTGCTCACCTCCACCTCCCAAAGTGTTGGGATTATAGGCGTGAGCCATCCCACCCAGCCAAGGGAATTTATTTCAAACCAAATGTTCATCAGTAGGGGATTGCTTAAATAATCAGTGATGGTGAATGTAAACAGTGGAGTACTATATAGCTAAAAAAAGAATGAGGAAGCTCTCCTTGTACTGATAATGGAAAGAGCTCTGTAACATACTGTTAAAGAAATGAAAGTATGTTTTAAACTGAGCTTGGTGGCTCATGCCTATAATCCCAGCACTTTGGGAGGCCAAAGTGAGAGAATTGCCTGAGTCCACGGGTTTGAGGCCAGCCTGGAAAACTTGCTGAGACCGCATCTCTACAATAAGTCAAAAAATTAGCCAGGCATGGTGATGCGTGCCTGTAGTTCCAGCTACTTGGAAGGCTGAGGCAGAAGAGTTTTCTGAGCCCAAGCAAGTCGAGGCTGCGGTGGCCATGAGTGTGCCACTGCACTCCAGCATGGGCAACAGAGTGAGACTCCAACTGAAAAAAAAGTATGGTTTTGCTAACGTTTGTGTAAAAAAAGTAAAAATATACATTTGTATTTGCATAAAGAATACCTAAAGAAATAGCTGTGTTGGTATTAGTGGCTAATAGCATTGGTGGGAATAGGGCAATTGGCTCCCAGGGTGGGAGGAAGACTTTTCCCTTTTTATGTTTTTACATTTTCAAACCACAGGACTATATTGCCTACTGAAAAGCAAACTAGTTTATAAAAAAGAGTGAAAAGATTGATATTTCATCAGTGCTCCCACTGCTGTTGCGATTTCTGTCTTTTCTCTTCTTACTGGTTGACCTGGGTTCCCTCTACTAGTGGTTTCCGGCATATAGGCCACATCGTAAGGGAATGGAGGTTTGTGAATCCACAGGCACTGTGTGGTTATTGGAATTCCATTGCTAGAAAAAGCATCATTGAATGCATAGTTATTTTTTGTCATTGGACAATTTCTGAACCGACAGATACAGAAAGTACTTTTACTTTCCTGATGTGGAGGAAGTGTTGTAAAATATTTTGTCTGTGAGAAAGGTTTCTTAAATAGAAAGCCTAAGAGCCTACGGCAAATTCAATTTTTAAAAAGTAACATTTATTTAAATCATAAGAGTAACATGTTTATTGGTATTAATTTTGAAATGCTATAAAAGCATAAAGAAAAAATAAAAATCAATTGTCATAAAAGAATGTGTGCTCTGGGCTATCTCCCGGCTCCGTCAGCTCTGCCATACTATAGGCTTGGGCAAGTCACTGACCTTTCTGAGCCTCAGTTTCCATGTCTGTAAAACTGGAACGATAAGAATATCTACAAAGTTGCAAGGGCTTAAGTACTAGAAAGCATGAAATATATGAAGAATTTTTTAAATTTTTTATTAAATGACAGGTAAAAAATTACATGCTAATCATATTGATATGTCATAATTTTTATAACCATTTAGACTACTTCTAGCCTTTTGGAATTACAAATAATACTGTGATGAATAGCTTTATACACAGATATTTATATATATCTCATTATTGCCTCAAGATTATTTTTTTTTTTTGAGTGGAAGTCTCCCTCTGTTACCAAGCTGGTGTGCAGTGGCACACTCATGGCCACTGCAGCCTCAACGTGCTGGACTCAGGCAATCCTTCTGCCACAGTCTTCCAAGTAGCTGGAACTACAGGCACATGCCATCACGCCTGGCTAATTTTTTGATTTATTGTAGAGACGAGGTCTCACCAAGTTGCCCAGGCTGGTCTCGAACCCCTGAGCTCAGGCAATCCTCTCACCTTGGCCTCCCAAAGTGCTGGGATTATAGGCGTGAGCCACCATGCCCAGTAGGACAAATTCTTATATGTGGATTATTGGGTTAGATTGTGTAAATATTTTTAAGACTCTTGGTGTATATTGGTAAATCCCTATTATAAAGTGTGTGACTCATGCCTGTAATTTCAGCACCTTAGAAGGCTAAGGTGAAAGGATTGTGCTGGAGCCCAGGAGTTCAAGACCAGCCTGGGCAACTTAGCGAGACCTTGTCTCTCCAAAAAATACAGGCATACACCTGTAGTCCCAACTACTTGGGAAGCTGAAGCTGGAGGATCGCTGACCCCAGGAGTTCAAGGCTGCAGTGAGCTGGAATCATGCCACTGCACTACAGCCTGGGTGACAGAGGGAGACCCTGATGCAAAAAAAAAATAAAAATAAAAAAATAAAGGTTTATACTCTTTGACCTAGGAGTTAATGAAATAATTTCATAGAAGAAGATATTAGGCTGGGCACGGTAGCTCAAAACTGTAATTCCAGCACTTTGGGAGCCTAGGTGAGCGGATTATCTGAGCCTAGAGGTTCTAGACCAGCCTGAGGAACTTGGTGAGATCCTGTCTCTACAATAAATCAAAAAATTAGCTGGAGCCGAGGCGAGTGGATTGCCTGAGTTCTCGGATTTGAGACCAGCCTGGGCAACTTGGCAAGACCTCGTCGCTACAGTAAATAAAAAATTAGCTGGGCTTGGTAGTATATGCCTGTAGTTACGGCTACTTGGAGGACTGAGGTGGAAGGTTCGCAGAAACCCAGCAGGTTGACACTGGGGTGGCTGTGAGTGTGCCACTGCATTCCAGCCTGGGTGACAGAGTGAGACTCCAACTTAGAAAAAAAAAAGTCCCACCCTGATTGTCACCCACTCAGAGTTACCTTGGTAAATAATTTCAAAGACAAAGAAGGCTCCAAAGGGACAAGTAGTTAAGGCTGGGAAACCAGTTGAAAATCTGTGTTGACTTAGTCCAGATAAGAATGGCTGAAGGTAGCTGTGGTCCATTGGGAAGGGTATAGGATTTGAAGGTCAGAAGGTGAAGGTTTGCTGCAGCTCTGCCACTTGTCACCTATGTAATGTTGAACTAATCACTTTGGTTTCCAGGCTGTAGAATGAAAATTCTAAAATAGTATATAAAATAGTAATAGTAGCCGGGCTCGGTGGCTCAGCCTGTAATCCCGCACCTTGGGAGGCTGAGATGAGTGGATTGCCTGAGCCCGAGGGTTCGAGACCCACCTGGGCAACTTGGTGAGACCTCATCTCCACAATAAATCAATTAAAAAAAAATTAGCCGGGCATGGTAGCGTGCACCTGTAGTTCCAGCTACTTGGAAGGCTGAGGCGGAAGGCTCACTGGAGCCCAGCAGGTCGAGGCTGCGGTGGCCGGGAGCGGCCACTCACTCCAATCTGGGCGACAGGGTAAGACTCCAACTCAAAAAAAAAAAATAGTAATAGTAAGGCCGAGCGCCGTGGCTCCTGCCTATAATCCCAGCACTTTGGGAGGCTGAGGTGAGAAGATTGCCTGAGCCCACAGGTTTGAGAACAGCCTGGGCAACTTGGCGAGACCTCATCTCTATAATAAATAAAAAAAAAATTAGCTGGACATGGTGGCACATGCCTGTAGTTCTAACTATTTGGAAGGCTGAGGCAGAAGAATTGCCTGAACCCAGCAGGTCTTGGCTGCGGTGGCCGTGAGCATGCCACTGCACTCCAGCCCGGGCAACAGAGTGAGACTCCCACTCAAAAAAAAAAAAAGTAATAGTGAACATTTATTACACTCTTATGCACCAGGTACTGTTTTAAGCATATGGGGTTTTTTTGCTTGTTTGTTTTTGTTTTTTGAGTTGGAGTCTCACTCTGTCGCCTCAGCTGGAGTGCAGTGGCACACTCACGACCACCATGGCCTCTACCTGCTGGGCTCAGGCCATCCTTCTGTCTCATCCTCCCAAGTAGCTGGAACTACAGGTGCACACCACCATGCCCAGCTAATTTTTTGATTTATTGTATAGACAAGATCTCACCAAGTTCCTGAGACTGGTCTAGAACCCCTAGGCTCAGGCAATCCTTTCGCCTCTGCTTCCCAAAGTGCTGGGATTACAGGCCCAGCTTAAGCATATTGTATAACAACTTATTTCTCATAGCAACTGTTAAAATACCTATTTCATAAATAAGGAAACTGAAGCTCACAGCAGTCACATAACTTGCTCAGGGCCATAACCATTGTGCAGAGGGGCCACTTTTGAGCTCAGTGTATCTATCTCACTTATGCTATTCTGCTTGTCTTGAAGATGTTCAAGAAAGTGCTTTGTGATTGTAGGCAGTTATTATTTACTTTGTGGGTAAAACACCTACCAGTAATGCTGCACCATAAGGATACTCAGACAGTACACAAATATCAAGAAGATAATGTTGAAGCCAGGAGAGGAAGTATTCTCCCAGATACGTTTTAAGGCAGATCCTCTAAAGGGAAGCTGTCTTAAGGAAATTACATATGTATTTGTAGAGTCTTCTAATATTTGCTTCTGCACTACTATGTTTGAGACTCTAAGATAGGCTCCATCTCATCGCATCTTTTTCCCTATCCTGGGATTTTTCAAAAGATTCTGTTAGAAACTAATGGTACTTAGCGGCGACCCCCTTGGGTCCCTTCCCACTGTGGGAGCTTTTCTGTTGCCTCAATAAATCCTGCTTTCAAAAAAAAAAGAAAGAAACTAATAGTACTTAGACAATTAAGAGCAAATCAATTCAATACCTCCCTAAAAAGTAGGTAGTCTAACGATTATGTTTTGCTATATTGGAATGGTTTCAGGTTTTATTGCTGATGTTTATTTTTAATCAAACCAAAATACTAAAAAAAAAGTGAGACCCCATTTCTACAAAAAATTAAAAAATTATCTTTGTGTGGTGGCACGCAAAGGAGGCTAAGGTGGGGGGAATCCCTTGAGCTCTGGAGTATGCATTTGCGGTGTGTTATGATTGTGCTACCACACTCCAGCCTGTAAAACAGAATGAGATTGTGTTTCTTTTTTTATTTTATTTTTTTAGTTGGAGTCTCACTCTGTCACCCAGACTGGAGTGCAGTGGCTGCTCCCAGCCACCGCAGCCTCGACCTGCTGGGCTCCAGCGATCCTTTCGCCTCAGCCTTCCAAGTAACTGGAACTACAGGCGCGCACTACCATGCCCGGCTAGTTTTTGATTTATTGTAGAGATGAGGTCTCGCCAAGTTGCCCAGGTGGTTTTCAAACCCGCGGGCTCAGGCAATCCACTCACCTCAGCCTCCCAAAGACGCGGGATTACAGGCTGAGCCACCAAGCCCGGCTTGTGTTTCTAAAGAAAAAAAAAAAAAAGCCCAACCTTTGTGCATTAGTTGGTAGAAGAAATAAGTCTAAGTAAAAGCCTACAAAGCTTAGCGATCCATTGTGACTCTTTATTTTTTCAAAACGTAGTACTGAAATGCTCTTTATAATGATAGGAGCAGTTTGCCATATCTCCTGTTGTCTAGGAGGATAAGTTTATTAATTTAGTTAAACATTTATTCCTTAATTTGAGGTTGGGGAGAAGTTTAACATTGGCACCAAGGATTTACTCCAAGTCCAACTCTAATTTTTGCTGCAATCTCAACTGGAAAAAGAAATCATTGAACTGTGATTGATGGCATGGAGTAGTAAACGACTTCAGCAGAACTTATTTCAGAGAGGTAGCTTTATTTGTACTTTTCAGGCATAAAGGATTCCAAGCTTAAAAGGTTTTATGTAGCCCCCCCCCCCTTTTTGGGAACTGGAGTTGGAGTCTCACTCTGTTGCCCAGGCTGGAGTGAAGTGGCATGCTCGCAGTCACCGCCACCTTGACCTGCGGACTCAGGTGATCCTTCCACCTCAGCCTTCCAAGTAACTGGAATGACAAACACACACCACTGCACCCAGCTAATTTTTTAATTTATTGTAGAGATGAGGTTTTACCAAGTTGCCCGGGCTGGTCTTGGACCAGTGGTCTCAGGCAATCCTCTCACCTTGGCCTCCCTAAGTGCTGGGATTATAGGCGCGATCTACCGCACCCAGCCTATGTGGCCCTTTTAATTTTTAAAAAATTTTATTTATTTATTTATTTGAGTGGCAGTCTCACTCTTGCTGAGGTTGGAGTACAGTGACACACTCATAGCCACCACAGCCTTGATCTGCTGCGCTCAGGCGATCCTTCCACTTCAGCCTTTTAGGTAGCTGGAACCACAGGTGCACACTAACACACCTGGCTAATTTTTTGATGTATTATAGAGATGAGGTCTTGCCAAGTTGCCCAGCTAGTCTTGAACCCCTGGGTTCAGGCAATCCTCTCGCCTTTGCCTTCCAAAGTGGTGGGATTATAGGCATGAGCCACCACACCCAGCATATGTAGCCCATTTTATTTTATTTTATTTTATTTTATTTTTTTAATTTTTTTTTTTTTTGAGTTGGAGTCTCACTATGTTGCCCAGACTGGAGTGC